GACCAGCATCTTATGGCTGATTTACGCTTTCCTTTGTATGGCGGTGTTTTTATTCGTTTGTGTTTTATTTTTATTTTACTAGAAAGTCCTGTTGAGATCAGAAAGACCTCTTTTACACGAGAGACCTGCCCGTGAGAGCGGCCGTACAGGAACACAGCCAGCCTCCCTTTAGCCTTTAACAAAATAAGTGACAAATGCTTTCAGTTTCGTTACTGTAAAAAAACACTTTTCCTCAACATCAATCCTGAATCTTAATACACCTGTTGTTAATTTGATCCACATGTTACAGCAGCGAGTGCAGCGGTGACGTCACATCCTGTTTACTCTGGGGGGGGGTTCGTCCTGTATTTAAACCCTGCGCGGGTTAGAGAGCTCGATTTGGCTGTGAGGGCGACTCCGACCAGAGTTGAAGTGGCGAGGGTCAAGTTTCGGGAGGCGTTCAGTCTCTTTCCTCTCTCCTTGTTTTCCAGACACGATGTACAAAAATCCACAATTAAACAAAGAACAGCTACTCAGAAAAACAACCACATTCTTTATGATGATTCATCAGTGGATATAAGGGTCGGGGGTCGGGGGTCAGGTTCAGGGTTCAGGGGTCCTTGATGCCTTATCGTCCTGACGGGGTCCCCACAAAGACAGTGACACTAGGCTGTGTGTGTGTGATGCTGCTGAACAGTCGACCATCAATCCTTCATTACAGCAGCTTTATTTAATACCCCGCTCTCATTTTCTGCTATTCTTATCTCCCGCCACCATGATGCATGATGGGAGTATGTGTGTGGGGGGGCTCTGTAACACTGCGTAAATATGAACTAACAGCTGGATCAGCCTGTTTCCAGACCCTCAGCATCTGCTGCTGCAGGAACAATCCACCAATCACATCGCCTTGTCAGCCGGATTAGGAATTAAGAAGGATTAAATCTTCTTCCTATGACGGCTCCAGAGAAATGGCTGACGGCGTTACAGAGATATAAACTACACAAGCTGCTTCTGCAGATGGCAGATGATCACAGACTACAGATACGAAGGTTTCGCTCTCTGAAACACAGCATCTATAAATAAGTTTCTTTAATTCATTAACTGACTGAATATGTGATTAAAAAGATGAGAGACATGAAATCACGTGACCGCCAGAGTCAGAGGCTGCAGAGACGGCAGCTACTGCTACTCTGCTTAGCTAGGCTAGTTAGCATTTAGCAGAACCAGCTCATCTGGTTTTCTTTTTTAAATCTTCATCATGATTTGATTTATATTGGAGCAGCAGTGCGTAAATTAGCTTCTCAGCAGCTAGCCTTAGCTAGCCGGAGTGCAGTGCAGAGTTGATGGTGGTTCTGACTTGCAGGGTACCTTACGATACAATACACGATACATGGCTCACAACAACGATAATATCACGATACAGAAATTCCTAAATGCTAATTCACTGAATTTACTGCTGAAAATACATGCTACATTTATTCATTACAGCTGCTGTACATGTCAGAGGTCGCACGCCTCTGGGGCAACGAGGGGTTAAGTGTCTTGCTCAGGGACACAATGGTGGATGGGTCACAGTGGGGAATTGAACAGGGTTCTCTCACACCGAAGGCAAGCGTCTTATCCACTGCTCCATCACCACCCAAATACAAATAGCTGTGCACCACCTAAGTCTAACATGTACATCACATTAAATTGATAACTGTTCAGTGACACAGTGTTGAGCTGCCCTTTCACCACCTACTGATGTATATATATATATATACTGTATTTTTAGGCCAATGGGAATTTTGGGTTTGAGTTTTGACCCTTTGGGGTTGCTGTAGCTGGTCTGTGTGGAGCAGATCAAGACAGTGAAGTTAGCAGCTCTTTTTTATTTCACACAAAGCTCAGGAAACGTATCCACTTAAAGGATTTGCACAGTTTGTCACTCAGGATGTTCAGTATGTGAAGCAAAATGTGTAGTTTATGTTAAGTTTACATTATTGTGATGGCGATGCTAATGTCCGCTAGCACGTCATTGGAGATCCTCATTGTACATTAGCATTGAGCTAACCGTCAAAGCACTATTTTTGGAATGTCGATACAGTATCATTAAAAAATAATGTATAATGATATATTGCTGTATCGATTTATTGTCACAGCCCTAGTTCTGAAGGACCAACGGAGCACTAGAGGTGCTGGGAGTTGCCTTTGGACAGAGCCAGGCTAGCTGTTTCCCCCTGTTTCCAGTCTTTGTGCTAAGCTAAGCTAACCACTGCCTCCCGCTCTGTACTGAAGACTCAGACATTAGATTAAAAGTATTTTCTAAAATGTTGAGCTCTTGCTGCAGCGATGGCTGCCCGTCACAGTTTATTAGAATGCACTTTATTTTTCCCAGTCTTTGTGCTAAGCTAAGCTAACCACTGCCTCCCGCTCTGTACTGAAGACTCAGACATTAGATTAAAAGTATTTTCTAAAATGTTGAGCTCTTGCTGCAGCGATGGCTGCCCGTCACAGTTTATTAGAATGCACTTTATTTTTCCCAGTCTTTGTGCTAAGCTAAGCTAACCACTGCCTCCCGCTCTGTACTGAAGACACAGACATGAAATTAAAAGTATTTTCTAAATGTTCAGCTCTTGCTGCCTGTCACAGTTTATTAGAATGCACTGAAATAACTTGGTGTTGGATATTCATCTGTAACGGCTCACAGATTCTTCTTCTGCCGCCGTCAGAATAAACATGAACCTCCAGGAACTATTTCCTGCGTCCTATTTTTAGAATTTCCATATTTGGTCATCAGAGACACTCACATTCTTCTTCTTTTCCTTTTTTAACCATGAAGAAGCCGCCGAGCGTCCCGGGAGGGTCGGAAACTCAGACTCTTCCCATAAAAAGCTCCTTTAGGAAGGAAAGAGACACGCAGTAGTTTTATATATTTTGTACATACAAATACATGTAAATACACACATCTGGTAAACAGTTATAACCTGGACTCGTTTGTTTTCAGTGTTTCTCTCCTCGTGAATGTGAAAAACTTCTATATGAACATCTTAAACAGAATAGTCCCTTTAAGAGTTATTCCAGAGCTTTAATCACATGGTCTTCCTCAGCAGAGTTTGTCTGTTTAAATTTAAGGATCTTAAGTTGAAGTTCTTGGAAACAGCAAACGTATCACCATGAGGTTTATTTAGTAGCTGCTCTGGAGTTTTTGATCGTGTCACATGGTCTTCATCAGCAGGTGATTTACATTTTTGAGAATATTTATGTTTTCTAGCAGCCTTTTTCTGTGTGGTTATTAAATCTAAACCCTTTTTAAAGCAGCTGGTGAGATAAATGTTTATTAATCTTCTCTCTCCTCTTTATTTATATTCACATGTTAAATAAAAGCACTCTGACCTCTCTACACATCCTGAGAACGATACGACTGTTTCTACAAATGCTGTTAAATTTCCCCAAAAGCAGAGCGAGTTCAGCGTCGTAAAAAGAAATATATAAATCTGTCAGTGCAGCTTGACCTCTGTAAATGTTCCAGAGATGATTCAGCTGTTTCAGTTTAGACGCTGCAGGCAAACAGGGTAAAAACATTAACCTACAGATATCACCATGAAACGTTCCTCATTGATTACTCACATAAAGACAATATATCTTTTGTATTACAGGTTTTCTGAAATGTTATGTGTAAATGTGCAAATGAGGCAGCATCTAATGAAAAAAATGCTAATTTGCATATATTTAAAGAACTGAAATCTGAACTCTGGATTAAATCAGGTTCAAAATTGACACATTAGACTTAAATGTTTTTACAAGTTTTATCTCTTTTTATTGCTCCATAAATAGAAAATACTGTCAACAGGCATTTAAAAAAATCTATTTTCTCTATGTTTTTGGGAATAAAATGTTCTATAATTCAGGCTGTGAATGAAGTTTGAACAAATCCCTCAGTACAAACCTTCAGAATATAGTCAGGAATAAACCTAAGTATTATAAAATTCTACATATTTTTATTTAAAATCAGTATTTACAGAGCCAATATCTGATGACACCCCCAACAACAACAAAATAGAACATCTGAAACGCATCAAACTGATAACTGAGTAACAGCATGTACTAATCACGCTGTCAGAAATCAAAGCTAGCCAATCAGATTTCAGACTGAGCTTAAATCCACCTCTGTGCTTTCCTGATTGGTTGCCGGTACAAAGGAAATGACCATATTTGGATCGGACAGCGTTCTGCACCAGAGAGACAGCTTTCTACAGACGCTCAGAGACAAACTGCTGGAAAATAAACTACTAAATGTGGATTTTGTTGAAGAAGCAAAGTAGCTCAAGATATCAGAACTGACCAGATAATAAAACCATGTTTCCACCGGCCGTGTCTCGCCTTAACATTCGTCATTATTTTAACCCAATCTGTGAAGTCACAACGTTAACAACTAGTTTTATTTTGAAAGTCTAAATGGACTTTGCAGATTTATTCTTGCTAACTTGACCGCAGAGCCCTGCACGTACAAAAACAACACTAAATGGTACCCAGGGTGCGAAAAAGCGACGCTGAAGGGTCTGACCAAGCGTCTAGATGAGACTCCTGGGGTCAGAACAGGTTCTAATGGATCTGCAGCTTCAGGGGAAAACTGTACGGCTGCTGTGGGTGAATGTGCAACTGTTGGGATTATGTAGTAATCTAAGTGTGTTGTGTATGTTGAAAGCTGTTAAATGTCATGTGTGGGTGTTGTGATGGATGTTTGCTGCCAGACGCTGTGCGAGACGCTCACTCTGGTTTCTCGGGGTTCACTTTTATTCTTTTTCTTTTCTTGTCGATTCTGAGCTGCTTTAAAATAGTTTTTATCCTCTAAAAACTTAAAACTCAGTTAACAGGAGCGAGATGACGACATGTTTTGCTCTCGACAGTTTGAGGATTTGGGAGAAAAATCTGAATGAAAACATTTCACAAAATCTGCAAAAGGAAAAACGACGAGACGCAAAGTCCAACATGGCGGCGTGTCGGTAACCTCTGATGTCTGTTTTGTTTGTCTCCATCAGGTGAAGCCAGAATAAAGAAACCGACCGCCAAGACTCCGCCCAAACAAGGTGACACGCCTGTGTACCTGTCTGCTGATCGATTTGAAAGTCCAGTCATCACGAGTGATTATTGATTATGGATGTGTCTGCGCAGCTCTGCCTCCTCAGATCCTGCAGTTCCCGGAGGACATGAAGATCCTGGCGGGGGAGAAGGTGGAGATCGTCTGCAAGTTCTCTGGAGCTACGCCCATCAGCTGCACCTGGCTGAAGTTCAGGAAACCAGTGAGACACACGCACACACTGAGGCTGGGGTTATTGGTTATTGATCAGGGGGGACTGTAATAACTCTCCATCATCAGGTCAACATGTTAATGTGTCCAACACTTTGTTCCATCATGTTGACACAGAAATAAAACACGTTTAATGTTTCTTTATTGATCAATAAGTATTTGTGAATCCACACATCAACACTCAGACAGCTCCTTATTGATTACATGAGCACATGAAGGACGATGACGAGCGTGTGATAGAAAGAACCAATACCAACCGATGAATGAGACCAAATTTATTGGCAGCAGTGAGGTGACGTTAAATAGATAGAAAAAATACAAAAGACAACATAAAGGCAAATATTCAAACATTCACTAGAGTCAGATATGAAGTAAAATATAACAGCGTTTAAAGAGTGATTAGAGTAATAGGTAATAATAAAGGTCCCAGTTTAAAACACCAAAGAGGTGTCAAAATACATAATACAGTAAAAAAAAGAATAAAGCTAGCTTAGTCCATTAACAGTTCAGTGTCTGCAAGTGGACGTAGCTGCCGTGACGTGGACTACCGTTTTGAAGCATTTTGGTTTCATCTTGATTTTTTGGAACCAGACGTGACCATATTTTTGAAGAGAGGGTGGAGCTAGCTAGCTTGGTTAGCAAGGTGCATATGTAATTAACATTAACTGTGGTATTAGCTGGGATGCTACGTTTGGCTAGCGACAAACCTAATACAAAATCTTCTTACCTGAAAAATGACCAGCCGACCCCTAATAGAGAGCCTAGCCCCGCCCCTTCCGGTGGACCACCATGGGACCTTAGTTCAGAAAAATATTGTACGGTAGTCAACGGCGAGGGACGACAAATATTTCTGATCCCATTTGAATTGTGCTCTGAATTACACACATGATGTTTGTCAATTTAAAAGATACATTTTAAAGTCAAGAAAGTCGCAATTTTGTTGTAAAACTGTTGAAGTATAAGACTGTGAAAATACACAATTACAAAGAGCACAAACCCAAAAGTCGCGTATGTGACGTCGTTAATGACTGAAGCTAACGTCACTGAAGCTAACGTCAAAAAACTTTCATGAGAGGACAATGTGACAAAAGGACCGGGAGTCGTTGGATTAAATTTATCAGGTGAGATATATTTCTGCGTGGAACATAGCTAAGTTATCTAGCTAGTAGCAAGAAGCAAGAAGACTTGAAACTAGAGACTGAGACCATAAACTCATCAGGAAAGTGTTTACTGAGGGAATAAATCAGCTGACAAGTAGAGAGAGACTTCTATACAATCAGACTTCTTTCTGAGAAGGCGCTGGAGTCGCCCCCTGCTGGCTGCTGGAGAGGACGCAGGTTTAAGGCTTCACTTTTCAGACCTGGAGGTTCCCGCTTGGTCTGATCACAGCAGAAGCCGTGGTTCAGCCTGCTGTGGAGCGTCCCTGCTGCCTGAGGCTGGTGTGCAGACAGAGGTGCAGGCTTGTCTGCCTTTGAGGCTGCGCTGAGGGCTGCTCTCCCAGGCGACTCCGTGAGAGCAGTCCAAGCCGATGACGTCTGGCGGCCAGGGGCGGAGGCAGACGCTGTAAACATTCAGGGCTTAGCCCAAACCCGGGAGATTATCTGCCCATTTACGGCAGCTGAACGCACTGTTTCAAAACGCCTAAACATCTGTACATCAGATCATCTGAGAGAGCTGCTCAAGAAGTAAATCATCCTGTAGAGAACGTCCTGTGTTGTGTTTATTCTCCAGCTGTCTTCATCCTCGTGTAGCCACAATAATAATATAATAATCTTTATTTATAAACCAACATTACAAAGTGCTTCACAAGAATCAAATACAAGTTCTAAAAATACTTAATTCAAAACAATTTAAACCAGTTAGATATGAAGGCAGGTAAAACAAAACACAGCTGAGAATTAAAAGTAATTTCCAAAATAATACTTAAATCATGTAAAATCAGGAAGGATCTTTGATAGAAGTTTAACAAGGGAAGAGTTCCAATACCAACACGGTGACATCTGGTGGCTTGAAGTATTAATCTATTTATAGATGTTAATGTGCAACAAGCCTGCATATAAAAATATTTCTGCTGACAATTTATGTATCAGTCAATATTATTTTTATAATTTAACCTCACACGTACCTGCACTCTCTTGCTCATAGACAAACAAATATCAAACTTCTGGACGCTGATCTGCCACTGACTCTAGAAGTCTGGAACAAACTGAGACGATGTGTTTGTGTGTCTGTCTGTCAGATCCAGGAGGGCTCTTCTGATATCTCCATCGTGAGCTCCGACAGCAGCAGTAAACTCACCATCTCCAGCGGTCAGCAGGAACACTGCGGCTGTTACACCATCGAGCTGAGGAACGCCGTCGGCCTCCGACAGGCCGCCCTCAACCTCACCATCGTCGGTGAGAAACGTCTGCTTCACTTTCCCGTGAATCAAAACTACAACGACATGAGAGAATAAATAAATACACATGCCTGTTAGATGCCTGTGGTACAAAATGGTTTTGTAAAGACAAAGTGAAAGGAAATGAAACATGTCTACAGTAAACACCTTGGAACAGCCTGCTAATACAACCTCAGAAGCTATTTGTACTATATTTTATATATTATACAGTATCTCTCAAAGTGAGTCCACCCCTCACATTTTTGTAAATATCTGATTCCATCTCTTCATGTGACGACACTGAAGAAATGACCCTTTGCTCCAGTGTAAAGTAGTGAGCGTGCAGCTTGTATAACAGTGTAAAGTAGTGAGCGTACAGCTTGTATAACAGTGTAAAGTAGTGAGCGTGCAGCTTGTATAACAGTGTAAAGTAGTGAGCGTACAGCTTGTATAACAGTGTAAAGTAGTGAGCGTGCAGCTTGTATAACAGTGTAAAGTAGTGAGCGTGCAGCTTGTATAACAGTGTAAAGTAGTGAGCGTGCAGCTTGTATAACAGTGTAAAGTAGTGAGCGTGCAGCTTGTATAACAGTGTAAAGTAGTGAGCGTGCAGCTTGTATAACAGTGTAAAGTAGTGAGCGTGCAGCTTGTATAACAGTGTAAAGTAGTGAACGTGCAGCTTGTATAACAGTGTAAAGTAGTGAGCGTGCAGCTTGTATAACAGTGTAAAGTAGTGAGCGTGCAGCTTGTGTAACAGTGTAAAGTAGTGAGCGTGCAGCTTGTAGAACAGCGTAAAGTAGTGAGCGTGCAGCTTGTAGAACAGCGTAAAGTAGTGAGCGTGCAGCTTGTATAACAGTGTAAAGTAGTGAGCGTGCAGCTTGTATAACAGTGTAAAGTAGTGAGCGTGCAGCTTGTATAACAGTGTAAAGTAGTGAGCGTGCAGCTTGTATAACAGTGTAAAGTAGTGAGCGTGCAGCTTGTATAACAGTGTAAAGTAGTGAGTGTGCAGCTTGTATAACAGTGTAAAGTAGTGAGCGTGCAGCTTGTATAACAGTGTAAAGTAGTGAGCGTACAGCTTGTATAACAGTGTAAAGTAGTGAGCGTGCAGCTTGTATAACAGTGTAAAGTAGTGAGCGTACAGCTTGTATAACAGTGTAAAGTAGGGAGCGTGCAGCTTGTATAACAGTGTAAAGTAGTGAGCGTGCAGCTTATATAACAGTGTAAAGTAGTGAACGTGCTGCTTGTATAACAGTGTAAAGTAGTGAGCGTGCAGCTTATATAACAGTGTAAAGTAGTGAGCGTGCAGCTTATATAACAGTGTAAAGTAGTGAGCGTGCAGCTTGTATAACAGTGTAAAGTAGTGAACGTGCAGCTTGTATAACAGTGTAAAGTAGTGAGCGTGCAGCTTGTATAACAGTGTAAAGTAGTGAGCGTGCAGCTTGTGTAACAGTGTAAAGTAGTGAGCGTGCAGCTTGTAGAACAGCGTAAAGTAGTGAGCGTGCAGCTTGTAGAACAGCGTAAAGTAGTGAGCGTGCAGCTTGTATAACAGTGTAAAGTAGTGAGCGTGCAGCTTGTATAACAGTGTAAAGTAGTGAGCGTGCAGCTTGTATAACAGTGTAAAGTAGTGAGCGTGCAGCTTGTATAACAGTGTAAAGTAGTGAGCGTGCAGCTTGTATAACAGTGTAAAGTAGTGAGTGTGCAGCTTGTATAACAGTGTAAAGTAGTGAGCGTGCAGCTTGTATAACAGCGTAAAGTAGTGAGCGTACAGCTTGTATAACAGTGTAAAGTAGTGAGCGTGCAGCTTGTATAACAGTGTAAAGTAGTGAGCGTGCAGCTTGTGTAACAGTGTAAAGTAGTGAGCGTGCAGCTTGTAGAACAGCGTAAAGTAGTGAGCGTGCAGCTTGTATAACAGTGTAAAGTAGTGAGCGTGCAGCTTGTATAACAGTGTAAAGCAGTGAGCGTACAGCTTGTATAACAGTGTAAAGCAGTGAGTGTGCAGCTTGTATAACAGTGTAAAGTAGTGAGTGTGCAGCTTGTATAACAGTGTAAAGCAGTGAGTGTGCAGCTTGTATAACAGCGTAAAGCAGTGAGCGTGCAGCTTGTATAACAGTGTAAAGTAGTGAGTGTGCAGCTTGTATAACAGTGTAAAGTAGTGAGTGTGCAGCTTGTATAACAGTGTAAAGTAGTGAGTGTGCAGCTTGTATAACAGTGTAAAGCAGTGAGTGTGCAGCTTGTATAACAGTGTAAAGTAGTGAGTGTGCAGCTTGTATAACAGTGTAAAGCAGTGAGTGTGCAGCTTGTATAACAGTGTAAAGTAGTGAGCGTACAGCTTGTATAACAGTGTAAAGTAGTGAGTGTGCAGCTTGTATAACAGTGTAAATCTGCTGTCCCCTCAAAATAACACATCACACAGCCGTTCTTGTCTAAACCGCTGGCAACAAAAGTGAGGACACCCCTAAGTGAAAATGTCCTAATTGGGCCCAAAGTGTCAATATTTTGTGTGGCCTCTTGGGCCTGGAGTTCAGCAGAGCTTCACAGGTTGCCACTGGAGTCCTCTTCCTCTCCTCCATGACGACATCACGGAGCTGGTGGATGTTAGAGACCTTGGGCTCCTCCACCTCCCGTTTGAGGAGCCCCACAGATGCTCAGTAGGGTTCAGGTCTGGAGTCGTGCTCGGCCAGTCCGTCACCTTTACCCTCAGCTTCTTTAGCGAGGCAGCGGTCGTCTTGGAGGTGTGTTTGGGGTCATGATCATGTTGGATTACTGCCCTGCGGCCCGGTCTCTGAAGGGAGGGGCTCTGCTTCAGTATGTCACAGTACATGTTGGCATTCATAGTTCCCTCAATGAACTGTAGCTCCCCAGTGCCGGCAGCACTCATACGTCTATTTCCCATAGACAACCTCTGGATATGACGCTGAGCACGTGCACTCAACTTCTTTGTTTGACCATGGCGAGGTCTGTTCTGAGTGGAACCTGTCCTGTTGAACCGCTGTATGGTCTTGGCCACCGTGCTGCAGCTCAGTTTCAGGGTCTTGGCAGTCTTCTCACAGCCTTGGCCATCTTTATGTAGAGCAGCCATTCTTTTTTTTCTACTCAGAGAGTTCTTTGCCATGAGGTGCCATGTTGAACTTCCAGTGACCAGCATGAGGGAGTGTGAGAGCGATAACACCAAATTTAACACACCTGCTCCCCATTCAGACTTGAGACCTTGTAACGCTAACGAGTCACATGACACCGGGGAGGGAAAATGGCTAATTGGGCCCAAATTGGACATTTTCACTTTTGTTGCCAGCGGTTTAGACATTAACGGCTGTGTGTTATTTTGAGGGGACAGCAGATTTACACTGTTATACAAGCTGCACACTCACTACTTTACACTGGAGCAAAGGGTCATTTCTTCAGCGTTGTCACATGAAAAGATATAATCAAATATTTACAATGATGTGAGGGGTGGACTCACTTCTGTGAGATACTGGATGTAATATTAATGAAGACAGAGCAGCCGCAGCCGCCCCTATGGTACCTTTGGTACCATTTAAGATTTGTGACTTGAACTGCTTAGATTTACAGAAGAACTACAAACATGTAGGAGTTCTAAAGCTCCTGACCGGTGGAGTACATCAGGTGAAACAGGATTATAACACTCTGACAGCGACGATGTGTCAGACGACCGAGTTCAGACTCACAGCTGCAGTTTGAAGCCTTTTATGGCAATGCTGTCTGTTTGAGTGTGTGTGAAGCTATGAACTGTATAAACACACACACACACACGTTGTTTGTCTCCTTGGCGTTCATGACATGTCAATGTGACCTCAGGTGACGTCATCATCACGTCCAGCTGATCAGATCCGTCCGTCTCGTGTTCTTCTTCCGACGTTAATCAGGTCCAGCTTCATCCAGTCAGCTGAGACGAACTCGTGCGTTTGTTCTCGTCTCAGGACATTCGGTGCTGCCGTCGCACCAGACTTCATTGTAGAAACGCCTGATTTTAGCCATGTTAGTAGGAAAGCTTGGTTCATACCTACAAACATCAGCAGCTGTTGGATGGATGGTGATGAAACGTGGTACAGACCGTCATGTTCCCCTCAGGGTTTAACTGAACAGGAACATGCTGTAATTAGGTGTCAGGTCTCTAAACACAAAGTAAATATGTGGTTTATGTCTCCGTCTGAGTGGTGAAACGTGGTTTATGTTCTGCTGTCAGCACCCCTCTGTCGCCTCTTACTTCAGCAGCCATGATGTCAGGCTCTTTCCTCTCCAGGACTCTCTGCTCAGTGGCTGTAATGACCACTGCAGCCTGTAGGGGTCAGTAATGTCCTTTTGTTTACCTGAATGACCCTCCGTCCTCCTCAGATAAACCCGACCCCCCAGCGAGGGTCCCTGCAGCCTCAGATATCCGGCGAGCCAGTCTGACTCTGTCCTGGTACGGGCCGACCTATGACGGAGGCAGCGCCGTGCAGTCCTACAACCTGGAGATCTGGGACTCTGTGGAGCAGCAGTGGAAACACCTGGTGTCCTGCAACAGCACCTCCTACAACGTACAGGTGAGTTCAGCTGTTATTAACCAGCAGGTCTCTGAAACCACAGATGGATGCACCTTAACGGAAAGGAAATGTCTTCAGTGTATCTCCAGTTTAAGGGTTAAATAAAGTTTCTGTCTGTTTGTAGAACCTTCTTCCAGAGCGTCAGTATAAGTTTCGTGTCCGGGCGGAGAACATCTACGGGGTCGGAGAGCCGAGTGCAGAATCTGAACCTGTTACTGTAGGACTGGTGGACGGTGAGTAAAGCCACAATCATCTCCCTCTATCGGTCCTGATCCTTGTCCACGGTTCTGTTCCAGGTCAGTTTTGGTTTGCTAGGTTTTTGTTTGCCTGGATGAGTCAATCACGGCCTCCATGTGAAGCATTCTTGTCTCGCTGACCCATGGACTGGATACTGGACTAAAAGATGGCGCCCAGTCTCTTTAATTTTACAGATACAAAGCCGTCATGCAATCAAATTCATAATAGGAAAAGTAATAGCTGCACTTGTTTGCTGCTGGAGGTGTCAACAGTTTTACAGACTTTTATAATGGAGGTCCAGTGGAATTGTTTGATGACCACTGGGTGGCACCACATCACATCAATGAAAACACCCATGGACTGACCGGGGAAGCACTCAGAGAGGGTTTAACCCACAATGATGCTGTGATAAAGTGTTTGTAGAATTGTCTTATAATAGAATGAGGTTTGGTGCTTAGTAACTTCCAGAACACGCTCATGTGCACTCATACATCCCTCCTAAACCAGTACTGAGTCAACTAAACTTAACTAAACTGCATTAACTGAAACCAAATAACAGCAGAGCTGAAGTAATGTGACTGAACTAAACTGACTAACTTTACTAACTGTTTGGTTCATCTGACAGACAACCAAGACGAGGGCGAGGCAGAGGAGGAGGATGAAGGTACGACACAACACATCTGAGAGCTGCACAATGACGCAAAATACGACACGACATTCAATATGACATATGACGCAAAATACCAAAGGACATACAACATGACATACGACACGACATGACACGACATATGACACAACATATGACGCAAATTAGGACATATGATGTAAAAATACCAAAGGACATACAACATGACATACGACACGACATTCAACACGACATATGACGCAAAAATACCAAAGGACATACAACACGACATCCAGCACGACATACGAGACACGACATATGACTTGACATACAACACGACATATGACTCGACATACAACATGACATTCGACATGACATATGACACAACATAAGACAAAATACGACTCAACATACGACACGACATACAACACGACTTGACATATGAAATGACATATGACTTGACATACAACATGACATATGACGCAAAAGACCAAAGTACGTACGACACGACATACGACACGACATGACTAGACATACAACACGACATACAACATGACATACAACATGACATATGACGCAAAATACCAAAGGACATATGACATGACATACAACACGACATACGATATGACATACAACACGACATACGGCATGACATACAACATGACATATGACGCAAAAGACCAAAGGACATACGACACGACATACGACGCAAAATACGACTCGACATATGACGCAAAAGACCAAAGTACGTACGACACGACATACGACACGACATACAACAGGACATACGACACAACATACGACACGACATACGACATGACATATGACACGACATACATGACATCCAACGCAAAATACCAAAGTACGTACGACACGACATACGACACGACATACAACAGGACATACGACACAACATACGACACGATATACAACATGACATATGACATGACATACAACATGACATCCAACGCAAAATACCAAAGGACATACAACACGACATATGACTCGACATACAACACAACATGACATATGACACGACATCCGACATGACATACAACATGACATATGACGCAAAATACCAAAGGACATATGACATGACATACAACACGACATACGATACAACATGACATACGACACGACTTATGATGCAAAATACGACTCAACATACAACACGACATATGACTTGACATACAACCCGACATATGACATGACATTTGACGCAAAAGACCAAAGAACATACGACATGACATATTACTCGACATACAACAGGACATACGACACAACATACGACACAACATACGACAAGACATACGACATGACATATGACACGACATACAACAGGACATACAACATGACATATAACGCAAAATACCAAAGGACATACAACACGACATATGACTCGACATACAACACGACATGACATACAACACGACATACGACATGACATGACTCGACATACAACACGACATACGACATGACATATGACATGACATACGACATGACATATATAAAATACCAAAGGACATAGGACACGACATATCACTTAACGTTCATTACATAAGAAATCATGACGTGGTAACCCTCCTCCCACACCTGTGACCACTGACCTCTGTGTTGTTCTGCCTCAGACTCGGAGAAGGAGCCCGACTACAGAGACGTGACCATCAGAACAGACACGAAGGTGAAGGAGCTCTACGACGTGGAGGAGAGGCTGGGAACGTAAGGCTCCGCCCACTCACACCTCACCCACAATGCACCTCTGATTTTGTCTGAAACTAAAACTGCGTCTGTGTGACAGGGGAAAGTTCGGCCAGGTCTTTAAACTGGTGGAGAAGGCGACGAAGAAGGTCTGGGCGGGGAAGTTCATCAAGGCGTACTCTGCAAAGGAGAAGGAGAACGTTCGGCAGGAGATCAGCATCATGAACAGCCTCCATCACCCCAAACTGGTCCAGTGCATTGACGCCTTCGAGGGCAAGTCTGACATCGTCATGGTCCTCGAGATGTGCGTAATGTGAACGACAACCTCTCTAATGCTGTGTTCATTTTCTCATTAAGGCTAAAAGCTGCTTTCATTTTACATCCTTCCACTTTCTCTAATAGGTTAAACAGCCCGGCCTTTAATTTGCTTAAATCACTGAACTCACCCGGCCTTAAATCTAAATGAATTCTATTTTGGTGATTGTTGTTTACATAAAATGAACTAAACGATTGAATTGTGAAGAATCTAACGACGTGTCAAATCTGACAAAAGTTTCAACATTTTTTAGTGTTTAGCCACACCAGGCCAGTAAAGGGACAGGCGTCTAATAGAAGTTTTACGTCATATATTTATTTATCGAGATCTCATCTCACCAGTAAATAACGGTCGATTTGCATTCTAAAAATTCCAATAATGATCATGATGCTCGATAATAAAGGTTTAAAATGTCCAACAAACACAACAGAACGCATCACAGCCATGAAATCTTTGGCTCTACAGTCTCTGCTGTAACTGGCAGTTAACACAGTTCAGTGTGGTGAAGTCATCTTCTTCCTCTCTGAGTAGTAGCAGCTGCTTAGCTTAGCATAAAGACAGGAAACAGGGAGATTTGGTTTGTTCTGACGGAGCCGGGCTAGCTGTGGATGATAACTGATCAGCCAGTAGAAGCCTGGAACAGAGGGAATCAATCTAAACCCTGATTGGATGAAAGTCTATAAAAAGCCATTATCATCCATAACTTTTGATTCACTCTATTCGTGTTTCTTATCGTAGAGATAAAAACCTGCTGGTTATCTCTTAATTGGATCTGCAATCAGAGACGTTTGTTTTCGAAGAAAGTTGGAAATTCATTTTCTGGCCAACTATGTTGGGAATTTGAGATCAGCTATTTCCTGCCTGCTAATTTCAGAAATGTGATGGACGGACAGCAGCAAACACAAACACAACAAGACAGTCATTTTTATCCTCTTAAACTACAGTCACAAGTTTAAGATCAGCCCCGTGTTTGTAATTCTTCTGTAAATCTAAGTAGTTCAAGTCCAGGAAAAACCTTTAACCTCCTAACATCCCAGCGCCGCCTGCAGGCCGTCAGGTCCTGGCGGCAGCTCTCGCTATGTGCACACAGCTGCCATGTTAGCTTCATACTCATATGATCCACCGCTTAAAAGCTAAAATCCTCGTGATCTGACCAGTGCAAACCATTTCAAAATACGATCACCACAGCATGCCTGCCTTATGTGTAGCCAATAAAAATCTGCAAATAACGATATCCAGCTTTAAGTAGGAAGTTCATGATCTACCAGTAAAAAACACGTCTGTGTCGAGCTGCCGGCTGATACGGAGCGACGCAGCAGCAGCCGCCTGCCGCCAGGGGGCGGAGCTGTTTTAGAAAAAATACACTGAGACAGACACTCAGAAAAACCTGTGGAAAATACTCATTTTCATGGTATTGGTATAAAATGTAAACTTGGTCCAGGTAAGGCTTTATGCTGCGGCACCACAGCTAATTTGTTAGCAAACATTTTCAAGCGGAAACCAAAAATAAATTAGTTTTAGTTTGTTTAAACTGATATTAATCAATTCCAGTAGCACTTACAGTGATTCTTTTGGGTTAGACACTGCAGAGTGTCTCTTTCTGAGAAGCCCAAAACCAGGCAGATGCTCCAAACGGTTCAAGAACTGCATTCAATTTACTTTGGATCTGCCTTGAACAGGCGTTTAAAACTAATTTTACAGGAATGGTAAGAGGTTAATGGACCCAAAGTCAGCAGCCAAAGTAAGCCAAAGATTTTCAGATCTTAACAATTAATAAATGAAGGAGTTTTGTTCATTATTTCACTGTGGCTCTGTCTTCCTTCATTATATATATAATATATAAAATAGTCCAAATGAAGCTTCTCAGGGTGAATTAACAGGCTGTTCCAAAGTATTTACTGTAGAAATGTGTTTACTTTCCTTCCTCTGCTGCAGAATAACCAAAGAAGACAAAGTTTAGGTCAGCAAAACTGAGATTTTCAGGGATTTATAATTTTCAGGGGTCAGGTCAAGTTATTCTTATACTTATATTTACATTCACACTGCAAACAGGGCTGATCTTAAACTTCTGACCGGTAGTGTGTCCTGTGATAATATGATATTTTTAGCGTCTTTTACCAGATTGCTGTGTGATCATCTCATTACGTCCTGAGATAAACAGGGAGGACCTGCTCAGATGGAAAGTGTTTTGTTTCAGAGAACTCACTCTGATAAACAACAGAGACGAAGGGGAAACAGTAAATATCTGCTACCGTGATAAAAACTGGAAAACCAGCCGCACGGACAGAGAACAGAAAGGAAGTTGTTTACATTCAGGCTCTTATTTTGGTTGGGTTTCCCATTATTCCTCTCTGATAACACTTTCACCACCGTCATTACTGAGACAACATCAGACATCACAATACGTGGACAACAAGAAGACCCAGTGACCCAGGAGCTCCTGGTTTAATGTGTGTGTTTGTTTTTAGATACCAAGGAAACTCTGGAGATTTTATAGTTTATTTAATCAGTTCTGAAGTCACAACAGACCTTTTTTACAGCTCACCAAAATGGAACCACATATTCGCACCGATAGCAGCGAGCTACCAAGCGTGATGTCGGTAGGCGACCCGCTCCATCTCCTGAGCCGCCTTCCCCGTTATCAGTTACACCTGTTCTGTTCCTGTGAAGAGCCAAAATATCTGCTGTGAAAAAGATCCATCCTGTTGACTTTATGGATCTTAAATCGTGTCAGGGTGAATATGGATACGTATTAAAAAAGTCTTAAATTTCATATTCCAAAAATAATGAGCTCTGGCATCCAGCTCTGCGCAAATCAGTTAGTTGTTAGAAAATAAAAAATAAAACATCTCTATTTGTATTTTTGATTTCACCCCTTAAGAGCACAAATATTGGATTCATTCATTTCATAGGTGTCATTTACGCTGTGGACACTGGGGACGTGTCTCCATCACTTTTTTTAAAGTGTTTGTTAAATATGTTCTGAAAAATGGCTTGCAAAAAGAAATGTGACAACAAATGAAAATACTTTGAGAAAGGTTTATTTGCACAATAAGAAAACATGCAATGTAATTTAAAGATAAAAGAAACAAATGTGCATTGTTCAGAAAAGTTTAAGCTAAAAAAATCTGAATGACTTTATTTAAATAAAGATAATTCTACCATAAATTGGTGCAGAAAATGTCTCCAGAATGCAGGAAGTTAAGTGTTTAGTGCTCAAAATTTTCTAGGGGCCCCCAGACCCCCATTTAAATATATTTCAGCATTGAATATTTCATCAAATAGTGTTAAAATATCTTCTTGTCTTGTTCTCGTGAACCCAATATTGTGAATTGTGCATGTGAGCCAAGTGTATCGTCACAGCGCTAATCTGAACCCTTATGTCCCACCACTTTTCAACACAAAGTGACGTCCTTGATTCATTTTATCTCATCAGAGTACAAACACACCCCGAGCTACAGTGTGTTAAATACGAATGTATTATAATAAAATGTTTTATTAAATTCATGTAACTTCCTAAATAATTGTCTTGGGCTTAAAATTCATACAGATTTTCAGTGAAGTTGGTATTAAATTTCATCCTAGGTGGTATTAAAAAGGTCTTAACTGTGAGAATCCTGGGGGTACCCTGTCTTTAGATACCAGAGCTCTTGAATCCAGGCAGTCTGAGTCTCTCTAGTGTTCACGAATAAGATAATCTCTTTTATTTTTATTCAGCTGCAAACGGTTTTGGCCCAGTGATGTGGCAAAGCACCGCTGACTTGCTGAGCCTTTCAGAGGGACGCAGAAGTGTTGGTGTGAGTTGTGTTTGGAGCTTTATGTAATATGTGTTGCTATAGCAACAAGATGTCTTCTTCTGCAGGATCTCAGGCGGCGAGCTGTTCGAGCGGATCATCGACGAGGACTTTGAGCTGACGGAGCGGGAGGTGATAAAATACATGCTGCAGATCATCGACGGAGTCAGCTTCATCCACAAACAGGGCATCGTCCACCTGGACCTCAAACCAGAGAACATCATGTGTGTCAACAAGACCGGCAGCAAGATCAAACTCATCGACTTCGGCCTCGCCAGGCGACTAGGTGACTGCAGAAACATGTCTTAAAGGAGACATATTATACTGCATTTCCAGTATTATACTGTAGTTATGTGACTTGTGGATGGTAACGTTATACTGGCTATCGGATAGCGGGACCTGGAGTCTCGCGTGTCCAAATTTTTTACTTGTCTTTATCTGGATAAATTCCCGCCTAAAAACCTGCATCCCGTGACACAAGAACAGCAGTATTATAACTTACAGTTGTGTTCTGACAGACAGCTACTAGCATAAACGCTAGCAGTGACAGCGCCGGGTACCCACCTGTCACTCAAAGTGGCCATGCCCCCAGCAATGCAGAAATTTAAAGCTTAATATTTATTTAAACAAGTGAGTTATAAGCTACTCAGTTAGCCGTGCAGCTAAGCCGTCCTGTTGCTGATTCTGCCCGGACTGATAACAGCAGCTACTCTGTTAGCAGCAGCTAGCTGCTTCACTGGAACGTGGGCTGGTCTATGTACATTTTTGGGGTGTAAACATTAAAAATCCCAGATGGTCTTTTGCATACATGAGATTAACATATGAAGGAAGAAACAATGGGGCCTTGATTCAGCAAACATTTTATCACAATAAAACATTTCATATCATTAGATATCAGTAATTATCAGGATAAAAGTCAAATCATTATTTCTTTTACATTTAAAGATTTTTGTCTCCTGAGTGAAAGTTTTAAACTTTTCTTTCTGCTCAGAACAAACTCTTGATGCCAAACAGAGGATCATTAATCTGAGGCAGAACATCCAGAACTATTCTGATAAAATCTGTTTTCGACAAATATGATTAGTATTTTGATTGATGATTAGTTTCAGTCATTTATTTCTTAACAGAATTAATATCTTTATAGAAAAATTCAGTTCTAATTTGTTTGTGATTCAAATTAATCAATTCAGACATTAATTGATGATATATTGAACATTTATTAAATTTTTATTGAGGAAAATGAAATTGCGATAATGATCAATATTGTTTTATTGCCCAGCCCTGATGCCAAGGTACATACTTTAAGGTGATTAATGCTAACAGCATGCTTACATTAGCCTTACATGCGGGGTGATAGTTACCTTGCTAACTGCATCCATGTGAATGTCCCAACGATTGTCAGCATTTTAACAAGCTAACGAGTTTATTGACGGGACAACATTAGCAATTAGCTAAAAGCTGAGCCTGAAAATGGCTGTTTGTCTAATCGACTCTTGTCTTTGTGGCGTCCGACAGAAAACGCAGGAACTCTGAAGGTTTTGTTTGGGACTCCGGAGTTCGTGGCTCCAGAGGTGATCAATTACGAAGCGATCAGTTATCCCACCGACATGTGGAGTATAGGAGTCATCTGTTACATACTGTGAGTTTACCACGACTGTTACTCAGCTTCCTGTTGTTTCATGTCGTTCAGCTTCCTCTGTTTTAGCATAACTTCAGTTTTTATATTTTATTTTGTTCACCTCTTTGTAGCTTAGCTTAACTTCATTTTGTTTTTTATTGCTTTAACTTCCCTTTACTTTAGCTTCTCTTAGCTTAGCTTCACTTAGCTTAGCTTTATTTTGTTGTATTGTTTTAACTTCCCTTTACTTTAGCTTCTCTTAGCTTAGCTTCATTAAGTTTTTATTGTTTTAACTTCCCTTTACTTTAGCTTCTCTTAGCTTAGCTTCACTTAGCTTAGCTTTATTTTGTTTTAATTGTTTTAATTTCCCTTTACTTTAGCTTCTCTTAGCTTAGCTTCATTAAGTTTTTATTGTTTTAACTTCCCTTTACTTTAGCTTCTCTTAGCTTAGCTTCACTTAGCTTAGCTTTATTTTGTTTTAATTGTTTTAATTTCCTTTACTTTAGCTTCTCTTAGCTTAGCTTCATTAAGTTTTTATTGTTTTAACTTCCCTTTACTTTAGCTTCTCTTAGCTTAGCTTCACTTAGCTTAGCTTTATTTTGTTTTAATTGTTTTAACTTCCCTTTTCTTTAGCCTCTCTTAGCTTAGCTTCACTTAACTTAGCTTTATTTTGTTTTAATTGTTTTAATTTCCCTTTGCTTTAGCCTCTCTTAGCTTAGCTTCACTTAGCTTAGCTTCTCTTAGCTTAGCTTAATTAAGTTTTTATTGTTTTAACTTCCCTTTACTTTAGCTTCTCTTTAGCTGTAGCATTTATTTATATTTCTGAGGAAATTTTTTTAGTGTAGTTTTAATCTAAAATAATATTTAGTATTTTATTTATTTTTCCTGAGTGATGTTATTTTTCACAACACTAGAACCGCCAGGGTTCGTTGTATACCTTTAACCACCATAGCGGGCAAAATTTACCTTCTATAAAAATGCTGTGATTATTTCTGCTACATGTTGCTCCAACACACTTTGGGAAACATTTAGCACATTGGCTGTACATTTCCTATAAACACCATCCCCATATTTCAGGCATTTACAGAAAGTTTATTCTATTTTATTCATTGTCTTCACTGTGCAGGTCGATCGCTTGCGCTTTTGTGAAGGGCACATTCACTCGCGGCGGCTCTTTTGATGTCATCCACTCGTCGCCGTTATAGATGTTATAACCTAGTTATATTCTAAACACAGCTTGAATTTAAATGCAGCATACAATTTGCAAAAAAGACTGTTGTAGTGTTTTATAGGCGGTAATAATAGCCTCATAAGTTCTTACTGTTCTGCTTGTTTTTTCGGACTCCATCGGGCATCCAGACAGTAACACATAGCTACAAAAGTTTGAAAGTCCAAATAAAAGTAGGCTATTTATTCGAAAGAAACGATTATTATCAATTCCAATATTCATAGTAGATTTTTACCCAGCGGAAAAATGTATAATGATCACTTTTACTAAAAAATACACAGCACTGGAAAAGTTATAGCCGGTCAAAAAGCACAGGAGGGAGCCGCACGCTCTCTTGAAGGGACCGCAGAACACACCTCTATCAAAGGAAAAAACTACACTACTGCAGCATTAGCTTTGATGATCATGTAGCAACACAAAAGCTATGAGCAGCGGCTTTTATGCATGTTTACTTCATTCAAGTGGATCGCTGTCAGATAATGACCCGTCAGATGCAGAATCAACCCAGGACACATCGCTCAGCCCCCACCGTCAGACTCTCCTTCACTTCAATGCCTGTAGTGGGAAAGGCGTTGCCGATAGCAACATAGAATGTTTATCTAAACGCGTGACATGAACAGCGCTAACATGACTTCTCTATAGGGGTAAATTTTACCCGCTGACGCTTATAGATATAAATGCCCATGTTTTAAATCTGGCTTTATATTGACATTTTTTAACAATAGGGGGTGCTACATAACACTTTTAGGAAAAGTCAGAGACTGGGGGGCTTGAATATTATATAGAAACAAAGATACATATAATCAAAAAACAGCCGCAGCTAAATTTGGCGGTTCTAGTGTTAATGTTTGAAAAGTGAATCTGAGTCTTCTTCCCAGTGTTTTTCTACTTCCTGGCCAGCTATTTGATGTTTAGTGCTTGTGTTGTGTCTTCTCTTTTGTTTTATTTACCTGCCCAGGGACAAAAGATGCAAATTAGCTGCTAGCTAACTGTGGTGCACTGTCCCTGTCAAATAAACAGGAAATGAAAGTGAAAATTCAGCCTGTGTCTGTCGCCCTCTCAGGCTGAGCGGTCTGTCTCCCTTCATGGGCGACAACGACAACGAGACTCTGTCCAACGTCACCTCGGCCTCCTGGGACTTCGAGGACGAGGCCTTCGACGAAATCTCCGACAACGGCAAAGACTTCATCACCAACCTGCTGAAGAAGGACATGAAGTAAGAAAATACATTTTAAACATGCCGGCATTTAGCAAGGCAGCTAGCTTAGAGGGCTAGTTAGCAGTAAAAAGTACAGCTCGCCCCCACAAGGAGTCACTGCAGTAACGAGCTGCGTTCACTTTCTGCTCAGAGTCCTGGACATTTTGTCGTCCAGGTGAAACCGTTCAGACGGAGAACTGTGTTACAGTAAAATGCTGCTGTGTGTGTGCGTCAGGGCCCGGCTCACCTGTGCTCAGTGTTTTGAACACACCTGGCTGAAGCAGGACACCAACACCATGAAGGCCACGAAGCTCTCCAAGGAGAGGATGAAGAAGTATATCCTGAGGAGGAAATGGCAGGTAAACAACAACAACAACAACCTGTTAGCATCACAGCAAAGTCACAGGATGAAAACAAGACGACAAAAACGTGTTAGGAGATCAAAATAAATAATAATAAAACACCACACAGCCTGATGCTGCACAGTACTGTTAACCACGTCGCCATCCATCGTGGCCGACAGCACAGGAAGTGGTCATGTGACTGTTTCTTCTTCTTCTGTGGCAGAAAACGGGCCACGCTGTTCGAGCCATCGGCAGACTGTCGTCCATGGCCATGATGGCCGGAGTCAGCGCCAAGAAGGGCTCGCCCACCGAAGGTACAGCAGCTGTCAGGGTGTGATGGTGGGTGGCCCTGGCCCGGGTCCCCCACTGAAACCCCCCCTTTAAATAATACAACTGTCTCTGCTCCAGTTTGGCATTTTGGCCGTCGCCATCTCGGTTTTTTGGAACCAGACGTGAACATATTTGGACGAGAGAGTGGAGCTAGCTAGCTTGGTTAGCAAGGTGCATCTGTAATTAACATTCACTGTGATATTAGCTGGGATGCTACTGAAAAATGAGCAGCCGACTGCTGATGAGCTTTTTCAGCAGCGCTGGTTAAATGTACGCAGAGTCGCCCCCTGCTGGCTGCTAGAGAGGACGCAGGTTTAAGGTTTCACTCTTCAGACCCGGAGGTTCCCGCTTGGTTCAGACAGTTTGCCATCTTTATACCAACTTTAAACAGGGGCTGAAACTTTTGATCATCAAACACTTCATTTCCTGCATTCTGGTGAAAGTTTCTGAACCAATTTATGATGGAAATGTTTTTATTTATGTAAACGGAAACAAAATTCAGGAGGCAGGTGACATTTCAAAATGTATAAATACAGAATCTAAGTGAGTGCAGCTCCAGTCAGGCAACACATGCAGGCATGATTTAGTCTTCCGTCCTCTTTGTCATGTTCACAGGGAGAGAACGGAAAACTTGGCCAAAAAGAAACTGACCAGAAGTTGTTAAAGTTACTGACTGCTGCTGCACGTTTGTGGGTCATTTTATAATCAGCAGCTTGTTTTCTTTTTTAGCTTTTTAACGCACATTTGCTTCTTCTATATTTTAATTACACTGCATGTTTTCTTAAAATGCAAATAAACTTTTAAAGGGCATTTTCATTTGTTATTTAACCGCAAGCTACATTACAGAACATTTTAATAAATTATGCTTTAAAAAAGTGGTAGGGACGTGTCCCCAGCGTCCCCGGTGTAAATGACCCCTCTGGGAGACGAGCATCACATACAAGAACATCAGCATGATGAATTATGAGTGTTGTAGCTTAAAGTCTGTAGCTGTCACGGGTTTGAAGGGCAGGAAAGTGCAAGATTTCCCTCTGAGATGTAGGATGGAAATAAGTAAAATACATGAACCTCAAAAATAACTCAAGTACTTGACTGATGTTGTTCTGTTTGTACTGTAATTTACATTTAAAGATTAGTTGGGTCAGCTGACTGTGTGTGTGTTTATGTGTGTGTGCGTTCAGAGGATAACCAGTTCCTCGAGTGTTTGGAGTACGAGCAGAAGACGGAGTGTAAGCCGACTTTCAGCGCGGTCATCAAAGACGTGGAGGTGGTGGAGGGCAGCGCCGCTCGCTTCGACTGCAAGATCGAAGGTACGAGAGCTGAGACTGTCGATCGATCCGTCGGTCAAAGGAACATCAGGAAAAAGGGAAAAATGCCTGTTTTCCATCTTAAAGTGGTTCGGTTTGATTTTAACTCGAGTTGTAAATGTCAGAAATTACAAGCTCAGAAAAGTTCTTCCAGAGCTTTCAGCCACCTCTCCTGGAGTTGCTCCTTTGCCATGGAGATGGCGTAGTAATGGGAGTTTGAGTCACATGATGACAGCTGATGACGCTCGCCAAACGCTTCCATAAGTTTTAGTTCTGCGTTGGGATGTAGTTGAAGGCTCTGGGGGAAAAATATTTTAGTGGAGATTGACTTTGAGCTCTGATGGTGATGAAGCCCCGCCTGTGTCTGCAGGTTACCCGGACCCAGAGGTGGTGTGGTACAAAGACGACCAGCCGATCAAAGAGACCCGACACTTCCAGATCGACTACGACGAAGACGGGAACTGCAGCTTAGTCATTTCAGAGGTCAGAGGTCACCTGTCGCTGTTTCTGTCTGTGAAGATGTGACGAGTCATGAACAGGCGAGCGGAGGCTAGGGTTCATTTTGTCAGCCATTTTAAAATGTAGTCCTGTGTCAGATGTCCTTGTTAGTTTTTGTCATGTTTAGTTCACTATATACTATTTTTTTAGTCAAGTTTTAGTAAATTCAATTCAAATCAGCTTTATTGGCATGAATAATAACAACAGTGTTGCCAAAGCTACAAATAAATTACATAAGCATATAAATAATTAATTTCATACATTTCATTAAATAAGTAAATAAAACAGTAAAAGTTTGTGTATTAATAAAAAATAAAATAATAATAATAAAAATATATAAAATTCAAAAATTGCTCATATAATAATGTAATATGTAATCATGTAATATGCTTAAATAATAATAAAAGTAAGTAAATAAAACAGTAGTTGTGTGTGTTAAAAAATAAAAATCTTAAAAAATAAAATAAACAAATGAAACAGTAACGCGTATGTGTTAAAAAAAATAAAAATATATAAAAAAATAAAATAAATAAATGAAACAGTAACGTATGTGTGTGTGTGTGTGTGTGTGTGTGTGTGTGTGTTAAAAAATTAAAATAATATATTAAAAGAAAATAAATACATAAAATTGTAAATGTGTGTATATTAATAGACAAAAAATAAAAAAATTATTAATAATAAAATAAATAATAATAAAAATATATAAAATGTAAATGAAATGAAACAGTAACGTGTATGTGTTAAAAAAATTAAAATATATAAAAAAATAAAACAATAAATGAAACAGTATTGTGTGTGTGTGTGTGTCAAAGAATTAAAATAATATATTAAAAGAAAATAAATACATAAAACCGTAAACGTGTGTGTATATTAATAGACAAAACAAACAAACAAACAAAAAAATAATAATAATAATAATAATAAAAAATTTTAAATCAGTTTTAGTCATTAACCATCATTTTAGTCTTTTCTAACTCATTAGTATAATTCTGATCAGCATTTTGGTCAATCTGCTCAAACCAAAATAGAGATGTGATTCGAATGTTAGCTTTGTTCTCATTGTTATTGCAAAGGAGAAGTTAACGTACCTCATTCCCGGGGGTTAGCCTTAATATGCCGCTTCAAGTTTGTAGTGTTTCTTCAGAAATCTTTTTTCAGAAATCTCCGATATAATTTGACGCTCTGTTTTTTTGTCCGCCTCAATGTGTTTGAAATGGGACCAAATATCTAAGCGCCTCTTTCTCCTGAGCATGTTACGTTCATCACCACAGTAATGTTTCCCTCGCCCACCAGGCATTGCCCACAGGAAGAAAACAACACCGCTGAATGAACACTGTTCATTTAGAGGGAGAAAATATGGCCTGTAATATTTTGTCTCCTTGTTATACTGAAAAAAAGAAAGAGAGATTTTATTAACATTGTTATTTTATGAATTACATTTTAGTCTCGTCATTTTTCGCAGACAATTTAGCACGTTAATATAGTCACAGTCAGCATCTAAGGACATTGTCGCCTTCTCGTTTTAGTAGTTTCGTCTGACGAAAGTAACACTAGTGGAGGCGAGCTGGTACCATTTAACGATGTCTTGATACCCGCAGGTGTCCGGAGATGATGATGCGAAGTACACGGTGAAGGCGGTCAACAGTCTGGGGGAGGCGACCTGCACCGCAGAGCTGCTGGTGGAGGTGATGGCTGGAGAGGAGGAGGAGGAGGAGGAGGAGGAGGAGTAAAGCAGTGTTGGTCTGGACTCCCACAGTCTTCAGCCTGTCAGACCTGAGCAGGACAAACTTACCCACAAACATCTGATGGTGTTGTTGGAGGGGCAGGTGGGTGGGGCTTTAAAACAACAGCGTCTCCAAATTCCCCAGTCCAACCCCATTCTCTTTAATCACTACACTCCCTGTATACTTAATCTCCTCCTCCCAGTGATGGCCTTACCTACACCATGCTGTGTGCTAAGCCCCGCCCACCTCACACCTCAGGCAAGCAGAGGCCCCGCCCCTCTCAGGCGAGCATCTGATCATTAGTGGGTTTCCTCTTCAAGGTTAATTCATTGAATATTTCTTAAAGACATATGATTGAAACAGGATACTTTACTGTCCATTCTTAGATCATTTTTAAATATCTCTTAATTTAAAATAAAATCTAGCATCAGTGAAAATGACCCCGAGTAACAGCTGCTTGGTGAAGAAGAAGCAGCAAGCAATCAATGAACGTAAACACAAATATGTGTTTGTTTACAGAGAAATCTCCACAAGGAGCTTTAACATGCTAACAACTACATTTCCCATGATGTTTTAGACAGCAGTACAATGTCAGAGAATTGTGGGAGCTGTAGTCATTGCATGCTAACGACGAGGTGGTAAAATGTTATCTGAGAATATTAAGATGTTTCAGCTCGGCACAGAACACCGTGACAGAAAGCCTTGATGAGGAGACACACTGATGAAGAGCTGCTGGTGAAACACATGAAGTACAATCAAATGCTAATGAAATATGAAAACGTTTTTTCATCATAATAAATAACGTTCAGCCACAGCTCTCAGGGCCCCGCAGACTCATAGGAGCTGTAGTTGTTGGGACTTTAGGTCTCTGTCTGATGAAACCATGAAAAATGTAAAGTATGTGAACCCGACCTGCTCCCTGTGGGAGTCCAGGTGAGTAAGAAGATGGTGTGATGGAAGCAGTGAAGAAGAAGAAGAATGAGCTTTATATTCACAGAGTTGGGCCACTTCACAACAAAGTGGCTTACTGTAAGAAGAGTTAGCAGTTTATCGTGTTAGCACTGCAGCTAACAGACAAAAGGAAGGAAAATTACATTGATCACCTAAAGATGATCCATATTTTACTGATGAACTGATTAAAACTCACCAGAACTAGTTTCAGATAGACAGCAAGCTAACGTTTGTTAGAAAACGTCACCCTTACTAATGTTAAAATAGGATAAGAGGAACTTTTTTGAACCCACATCAGAGAAATTCACTTGTCAGAGCAGGCAGAAGTAGAAAAATATATATATACACATTATACTTTCACTTATACACATATGACCGTGATGGATAATTGTAATACGCACATACTGTGTAGCATTATACTAAAATATTAAAAGCTATAAAATGCTCAGTAGCTAATAACTGTTTGCTAATTAGCAGCAGAGGTGTGTCGGTGCTGTGGTGATTGATTTAAACTGTTTTAAATTATCAAAATAAAAATGGTACAGATTAAATAAATCAATATCAAATCACTTGTTTAAAAATAAAAAATGTATTGAAAATAATCATTCGCCCAAAACTAACTTCAGATAGAAACCAAAATAAAGTTCTTAACATGTCATGTTAGCAGCAGTCTGATCCGAGGGGAAGGAATTAAGTGCTTCGTTCATCTAAATATATTTTATACAGAAAAAAACAAAAATACAAATTAGTAAAACTAATAATTTGATAAAATAGTCATCAAAATAATTATTAGCTGCTGCATTTAGACATCTTGCTAAGCTAAATTTAGATAAAGAGCTAATTAACATTTGTTAGCTAACATCAGCCTAACTGATGTTAGCTTGCTAGCAACATTAGCTTACTAGCAACTACAATTTTTGCTGTTGGGAGTCAAATAAAATAACTTTCAACCATTAAAATCAACTTGTACAACTTAAATTACACAAATATCTAACACAAAAAAGTGGATTTATCAGTTATCAACATTTTAAATTGGATGCAGCCCTAAAGCTAACTTATCTAGACTAATGTTAGCATTCTAGCTAATACACATTAGCTTACATTATCATAGATTAGGTTGTAGAGGAGTGATTTAAAACAGCTTTGAACCATCGAAACACAGTTTGTGTTGATTAAATAAATCAAACTAGTTGAAAAATGAATGAGTGATTAATAGGAAAACTTAGCATCACAGATTTGGCATGCGAGGAGTGAATTAAAACACTGCTAGAGTGACAGTAGCTTATGTTTATCAGCTAGTGTCTATATCAAACATTAGCTAATGTGCCCTTGGGAATTAAAATAGTTTTGAACATCATATATTAATAACGTTACACAATGAGCGAGCAAACTTGGTAGCTCAACCCCACTCAGCAATGTTAGCACAGATGTCAGGATAGCCAGTCATGTTTTCCTTTTAATTCTCCCTAAAATGATTGAATTTTATTTGTTAGAAATGTTTTAATTTTCACAGCGTTCTCCAAGTTTTTATTCTTCTGCGATTGTGAAGCCTGGTGCAGTTGGATTGATGTAGTTCGGTGCACAAGAACACCAGTGACAAAGTTTACAAAAAACATTCAGGAAAAAACATGAAACCATGCCACCAAGTGCCTTAATGTGACCCAACTGTGTTGATATAAGGCTCAGGGTATGAACCACGATGATGCCGATATGTGATGATGATGAATTATATAACGATAACCCATTTGTTAGTGTATAACCTAGCTGCTCCCCGTTTGCACCTGACGTGTTCAGCTGAGAAATGTTGAATGGGTCAGTTTGGTTCTTCTCTTCTGTTTGAGCACTTTTCTTTCTGTCTTGTTTGTATTTTTTGACTTCGACAGCAGTTTTAGCCCAAAACCATCTGAAAGCTAGCATCACCTCTGCCTTACGTTGTTAGCCTTAAAGCAGTGCGGCGACACTTTTAATGACAATCTGGGCGATTTAAAATGTTTGCTACCAGACATTTGTCACGTTGTGGGACAAAATAGGTAATTTTTCCTTTTCGCTGCCTTAAAGAAAGTTTGTTACCAGTGTTGAAAGAAGAGAATTTACAAAAATCAGGGACTGTCTCTTAAAGTCTGTACGAAATGAAAAAATGCAGTTAAAGACATTGTTGGACATTTTGTCATAATTCTGACATTTGTGTCTTGTAAATATGACTTCGTGTCTCATAATTACATGATAGAAATCCCCATAAAAATATCAAAATTACAAGAAAATATCTTAAAATTATGAGAAAATATCTCAAACTTGCAAGAAAAATATCTCACAATTATGAAAAAGTATCTTAAAATTCTAGAAATTTTCTTAAAATTACACGAAAAATTCCTAAAATTAGTTGAAAGTATATCAAATTGCTAGAAAAATATCTCAGACTTATTAGAAAAATATCTCAAACATCTTATAATCACAAGAAAACCTCAAAATTATGTGAAAAAATCCTAAAATTACAAGTATCTCTGAATTAAAAGAAAATATCTCCAAATTTTAAGATCAAATAGTTTCATGATACAAATCTTGCAATGATAAGCACTATCTTCAAAATAACAAGATTTGTATCTTTTAAAAACGAGATGAAGACATCTAAAGATTACCAGTTGAGACACCGTCACATCTTTATCTCGTAACTATGACAGACGCTTTTATCCTAAGCGACTTACATTTGAGGAACTTAAAGAAAAGACCTTCTAGTTTCTAATTTGTACCTCAAAATTAATAAATATGTATCTTGTAAATGAGATATAGATTTTGTCATTTTGAGGTGCAATTCTCCGTTTGTTTTCTTACGGATTTTCTCATTTTACAATAACAAGATTAAAACGAGATGGTTCATCTCAAGAGGTTTTCCATGAATAAACTCACATTATAAGGATCTCGCAGCTGTCAGACAACATTTCGAATATTTCGTCTCTGGTGAATGCCGTGCACAATTCAAAAAATTAAAGTTTGTTGTTCTGTTATAAGAAACATAACGGCCTCTTAAATGCAGTTTTCTGAAAACAAGTTAACTGTTTAAAGTTAAAACCTCAGCAGCTTTAGGTGCCAGAATGTGACCTGTGTCCCGTCAGGTAGAAACAGGATGTGATTTAAAGGTGAGTTAACGTGTTGGTGCAACCGGGTGTTCACACTGATGTCGAAGTCATTTTCATTTTTATTTTTTTGCCACATTCCAGCTGTTTGTTTGTGCTTTGAAACAATTATTTAAAGGCTTTAAGGGCTGATTCAGTTTTCAACCAAAAACCAAAGAACCTTCTTTAAACCTTCACAGGTGTGTTTGTGTGTGATCTGCATTACGCCGTGTTACCTGGGCCTGTTTGTGTGTTTGGTGGTTGTTTGTTTTTAAGAATGTTTTAATTTTAGACTTATTTAATGCACAGATTCATAATTATAATATTTCAGCATCCGTCTTCTCTGAGATAATCTCGCCAGCACTTAATTTGTCACAGTTACAGTAATACTAAACCAAGCAGTGACTCACTCCTAGACTGATTTGTTTTTGTATTAGATGTAAGTTGATTATATTGCTCTAATTTTTATAATTATAAGAGTTTGATGAACTGCAGATGACATGTATGAGAACACTGTGTAGTTACTCACAGATACCAAATAAAATTTCTCACTAAACCAAAGATCTGCTGTGGCGTGTGATGTACCAAGACGGGGAGCCCACACCGTGTTGAAAGTAAAGATACACACTGCTGTGTTCATTACTGGTTTACCTGTGAGTCTGACTGGTGCAGAGAAAACTTCAACCTAAAAAGTATCAAAAAAATACAAGAAAAGTATCTAAAAAGTACGAGAAAAGTATCTAAAAAGTACAAGAAAAGTACCTAAAAAGTACGAGAAAAGTATCTAAAAAATACAAGAAAAGTATCAAAAAAATACAAGAAAAGTATCTCAAAAGTATGAGAAAACTGTCTCAAATTGCGAAGGTTAGGTGATCAGCCCATATTGTGAAAGAATAGTGACCCAGGTCTGTGATGTTCTTGTTTCTTCTCAAACAGCCAGTATTTCCTGTTTCTGGTCACCACGCATGTACTGAACTCTGTATCTGCCAACATTAAAATGAAATTGAAATTTCTGGGATGGTGACCTGCAGTCTTGCAGAATCAACCCGTCCTCACCAGAGAATCGGTCTAGACCATACTCTATGATGTTATTTACAGAAGCCCAACAATTCCCACCAAGAGCAAGCACATGTTGTTTTCTGATCAAACACGTTTCTTTTTGCACTGCTGTGCTCTCCCAGAGGATATTCATTCTTTGGTGAAGCTGCTATAATAGGAACCAGTTGGTTTCTGGATACCAAAGCCAGCATTTTCTACCAATTATTGTTGGGTAAAATAGGTCTCGACAGCAATAGCCCATTAAAACCAGTCTATATTCCAAGATGCAGAAGCAGCAGTGTAAGGTTGTGTCTCTCCTGTGTTGTGAATAGTTTCAAACCCACTGCACTGCTCGTTGCTGTTTTTCAGCAAAGGTGTTCAACTTTCACGCAGGCCCAACAGTAGCACTTGTCTGTCTTCCATGCTTTAGAAAATGTAGAGCAGCCTCTGGTGGGATCACCAGGACAGAAGTCAGTAAGGACCAGTACATCAAAGGACAGATTTTAGAAACAGCTGATTCAGTCAGAGGGTGTTTAAGTGTGTTAAGGGAGCAATTTCTTGTTTTCAGATTTGAATAGGTAGAGGCTCCCGTGGACACATTAAGTTGTAAAGGCACTGCTGGGATTTGAACCCAGGATCCTCCTGTTTACAAGACAGGCGCTTTCACCAACTAAGCCACAGCACCCGCCACAGGCAACTACGCTACCTGTTTCAGGTCGTCTAGTTTTGTAATCAAGTATTCGGATTGCCACGCTGTTCTCGTTCACTTGCGTTTTTCTTGAAGCTGCATAGAACGCACATGAGGTTATTCTCGTTTTTGTCTTTGGGAAGTGGCACATCGTTATTAAAAATGCCACTCAGGCACCGCTGGGATTTGAACCCAGGATCTCCTGTTTACTAGACAGGCACTTTGACCAACTAAGCCACGGCGCCATGCGTTTGGGTTACTTGACAGACTTTCCCGTGAATGTTTCAATGAAATCAAATGGGCTCGTTAACGTCTTTCATTCCTTTTTCAGTAAAAGCAAAGAAAAACAGACTTGCTATTCACTTCTAGGATGGCATGTGGTAGCGGAAAAGCCAACACCGTTAAGGCCTCTGGAGTCACAAGAGGACAAAGGGATGAGCTAGGCGAGATCAAGGGACAACGTGGCACTAGTCCTGTTTGACAAGAGGTACTTCGCAGTGGACGAAACGTTCAAAGAGCATGAACTTCCAAGGGCTATAGAGGAATCGTCCCTGGGTGGGCTTAAACCACCATCCTCTCGGTTAACAGCCGAGCGCACTGGCCACTTGCGCCACAGAGACGTGATTGTTGATCGTTCTAAACATCACGTGTACTCGTTTTCCAATCTCGGTTCCATGATGCTCAAAAGCCGTGTCCTTTGAAAGCAATTCACATATCGCGCCACTCACTCCTAGACTGATTTGTTTTTGTATTAGATGTAAGTTGATTATATTGCCCTAATTTTTTATAATTATAAGAGTTTGATGAACTGCAGATGACATGTATGAGAACACTGTGTAGTTACTCACAGATACCAAATAAAATTTCTCACTAAACCAAAGATCTGCTGTGGCGTGTGATGTACCAAGACGGGGAGCCCACACCGTGTTGAAAGTAAAGATACACACTGCTGTGTTCATTACTGGTTTACCTGTGAGTCTGACTGGTGCAGAGAAAACTTCAACCTAAAAAGTATCAAAAAAATACAAGAAAAGTATCTAAAAAGTATGAGAAAAGTATCTAAAAAGTAAAAGAAAAGTATCTCAAAAATACAAGAAAAGTATCTAAAAAATACAAGAAAAGTATCTAAAAAGTACGAGAAAAGTATCTAAAAAGTACAAGAAAAGTACCTAAAAAGTACGAGAAAAGTATCTAAAAAATACAAGAAAAGTATCAAAAAAATACAAGAAAAGTATCTCAAAAGTATGAGAAAACTGTCTCAAATTGCGAAGGTTAGGTGATCAGCCCATATTGTGAAAGAATAGTGACCCAGGTCTGTGATGTTCTTGTTTCTTCTCAAACAGCCAGTATTTCCTGTTTCTGGTCACCACGCATGTACTGAACTCTGTATCTGCCAACATTAAAATGAAATTGAAATTTCTGGGATGGTGACCTGCAGTCTTGCAGAATCAACCCGTCCTCACCAGAGAATCGGTCTAGACCATACTCTATGATGTTATTTACAGAAGCCCAACAATTCCCACCAAGAGCAAGCACAGGTTGTTTTCTGATCAAACACGTTTCTTTTTGCACTGCTGTGCTCTCCCAGAGGATATTCATTCCTTGGTGAAGCTGCTATAATAGGAACCAGTTGGTTTCTGGATACCAAGGCCAGCATTTTCTACCAATTATTGTTGGGTAAAATAGGTCTCGACAGCAATAGCCCATTAAAACCAGTCTATATTCCAAGATGCAGAAGCAGCAGTGTAAGGTTGTGTCTCTCCTGTGTTGTGAATAGTTTCAAACCCACTGCACTGCTCGTTGCTGTTTTTCAGCAAAGGTGTTCAACTTTCACGCAGGCCCAACAGTAGCACTTGTCTGTCTTCCATGCTTTAGAAAATGTAGAGCAGCCTCTGGTGGGATCACCAGGACAGAAGTCAGTAAGGACCAGTACATCAAAGGACAGATTTTAGAAACAGCTGATTCAGTCAGAGGGTGTTTAAGTGTGTTAAGGGAGCAATTTCTTGTTTTCAGATTTGAATAGGTAGAGGCTCCCGTGGACACATTAAGTTGTAAAGGCACTGCTGGGATTTGAACCCAGGATCCTCCTGTTTACAAGACAGGCGCTTTCACCAACTAAGCCACAGCACCCGCCACAGGCAACTATGCTACCTGTTTCAGGTCGTCTAGTTTTATAATCAAGTATTCGGATTGCCACGCTCTTCTTGTTCACTTGCGTTTTTCTTGAAGCTGCATAGAACGCACATGAGGTTATTCTCGTTTTTGTCTTTGGGAAGTGGCACATCGTTATTAAAAATGCCAGTCAGGCACCGCTGGGATTTGAACCCAGGATCTCCTGTTTACTAGACAGGCACTTTGACCAACTAAGCCACGGCGCCATGCGCTTTGGTTATTTGACAGACTTTCCCGTGAATGTTTCAATGAAATCAAATGGGCTCGTTAACGTCTTTCATTCCTTTTTCAGTAAAAGCAAAGAAAAACAGACTTGCTATTCACTTCTAGGATGGCATGTGGTAGCGGAAAAGCCAACACCGTTAAGGCCTCTGGAGTCACAAGAGGACAAAGTGATGAGCTAGGCGAGATCAAGGGACAACGTGGCACTAGTCCTGTTTGACAAGAGGTACTTCGCAGTGGACGAAACGTTCAAAGAGCGTGAACTTCCAAGGGCTAAAGAGGAATCGTCCCTGGGTGGGCTTGAACCACCATCCTCTCGGTTAACAGCCGAGCGCGCTGGCCAATTGCGCCACAGAGACGTGTTTGTTGATAGTTCAAAACATCACGTGTACTCGTTTTCCAATCTCGGTTCCATGATGCTCAAAAGCCGTGTCCTTTGAAAGCAATTCACATATCGCGCCACTCACTCCTAGACTGATTTGTTTTTGTATTAGATGTAAGTTGATTATATTGCCCTAATTTTTTATAATTATAAGAGTTTGATGAACTGCAGATGACATGTATGAGAACACTGTGTAGTTACTCACAGATACCAAATAAAATTTCTCACTAAACCAAAGATCTGCTGTGGCGTGTGATGTACTAAGACAGGGAGCCCACACCGTGTTGAAAGTAAAGATACACACTGCTGTGTTCATTACTAGTTTACCTGTGAGTCTGACTGGTGCAGAGAAAACTTCAACCTAAAAAGTATCAAAAAAATACAAGAAAAGTATGAGAAAACTGTCTCAAATTGCGAAGGTTAGGTGATCAGCCCATATTGTGAAAGAATAGTGACCCAGGTCTGTGATGTTCTTGTTTCTTCTCAAACAGCCAGTATTTCCTGTTTCTGGTCACCACGCATGTACTGAACTCTGTATCTGCCAACATTAAAATGAAATTGAAATTTCTGGGATGGTGACCTGCAGTCTTGCAGAATCAACCCGTCCTCACCAGAGAATCGGTCTAGACCATACTCTATGATGTTATTTACAGAAGCCCAACAATTCCCACCAAGAGCAAGCACATGTTGTTTTCTGATCAAACACGTTTCTTTTTGCACTGCTGTGCTCTCCCAGAGGATATTCATTTTGGTGAAGCTGCTATAATAGGAACCAGTTGGTTTCTGGATACCAAGGCCAGCATTTTCTACCAATTATTGTTGGGTAAAATAGGTCTCGACAGCAATAGCCCATTAAAACCAGTCTATATTCCAAGATGCAGAAGCAGCAGTGTAAGGTTGTGTCTCTCCTGTGTTGTGAATAGTTTCAAACCCACTGCACTGCTCGTTGCTGTTTTTCAGCAAAGGTGTTCAACTTTCACGCAGGCCCAACAGTAGCACTTGTCTGTCTTCCATGCTTTAGAAAATGTAGAGCAGCCTCTGGTGGGATCACCAGGACAG